AGACAGAGAGAGACAGAGAGAGACAGAGACAGAGAGAGAGACAGAGAGAGACAGAGACAGAGAGAGACAGAGACAGAGAGAGACAGAGACAGAGAGAGACAGAGACAGTGAGACAGACAGACACAGAGAGAGAGAGAGACAGAGACAGTGAGACAGACAGACACACAGAGAGAGAGAGAGACAGAGAGACACAGAGAGACACAGAGAGACACAGAGAGAGAGGAGAGAGAGAGGCTCGCCCGCCCGCCCGAGAGGCTAGCCAGCTGCTGGAGATCAGGGCATTAGCCTTCGGCAGAAAGTGGACCACTGTCTGTGTGCAACGCACGCCCAATGACACTAGGTGTCCGTGCCCACGGGGTTTCTGTGTGAATTTACGTAGCCCGGAGGCTCGAACTCCTGGAGAAGCACGCAGTTGGCGCGCCTAGGTTAGCCCAGGCTCTTCAGTGCTCCTGGGAGACTCCCTGATTCACAGGTTTCCTCCCCCTCCTCACAGTTTACGCAAAGCTGCGCGCCTTTGCCTCAGAGAGTCCATGTTGAGCCTCTTCTGCCTACTGCCTGCCTACTTCCATGAAGAGAAGCTACATTGATCCTCACCTATTTAGCAAGCAGTGCCTGTACTGTGATCGGCAGTGCCAGACCGGGCATTCTGCTTAGAGGAGGCTGCTTACTGGTCGCCAGTCATACTAGGTCCCCTTCCGCCACGCCCCCATACCGCAGTGCACAGCGAACAACCTCCGGCTCAAACTCTGCAGGCCTCAAGAATAGCCCTCGCAGCTCCTGCATTTGGTCCTGCCTCTCCGTTTGGTCTTCTCTGTCTTTAGGGCGCTGAAGAATCTTGACGGACAAAGAAAGCCTCCCTAGTCTCTCTGTTGCTTGGTTAAACCTTTGCTGATTGCTAGATTTCTGGAAAGGGAAGACCTTCGCTCTCACACTTAGATGCTTAGGGTACCTCCAAATTTTGGAGCTTGTCAAACCCCAGTTCTGCCCAGCACCCGCGAAGGTCGCGGAGTGGGCTGGATGCCGGGAAAGCGAGCTTCCTCCTGCACTTGAGAATGCGATCCTGAAAGCCCATCGAAGCCCTGCGAAGGAGTGAAAGCGAGAAAGCCGCGTGTATGCTGGTTTCTTAATTTCCACTACGCTGCTCCCGGCTACGCAGGAGGCAGACTTGAAATGGACACTAATTTCTCACCCCTGCCCTCCAGTGTTCACGCCACTGGCCTGTCCTTTCTTTACAGGGAAGAATGTGGGTGCTAAGTTTCCAGTTTCCTTGTTAAAATGCACGGCGGGGAGGAGGGGAGGGGTTAGGCTCGACAGCAGTTTAGGAGCCAAGAATAATATTGGAGCAGCGCACAGTAGGACAAGCCTGCAAGGAAGATAAAAAGGTGCAGCAACGGCCTGATCAATGTCACCTTGTTCCCAAGAATCCTCACTGCCACCCAGCTGGTGGCCGTGATCATTATCTTTAACAAACACTCCCCCCTCACATTTATTTATGGGGGTTGCTGGACCACAGCATGCAATTGGAGTCGGTTTAGAAAGTGGGTTTAGAGAGTCGGTTCTCTCCTTGCACCCTGCGGGGCCCGGAGATAAAGCTCAGATGGTCAGGCTTAGTGGCAAGAAAACTTACCTTGATGGTCACTGGGAAGGCAAACTAGTGCTTTGATTGTTACGCTTTTGGGCTGTCATAATTATAAGGAAACTGAGGCACAGAAGAGTTAAGTACTGAACCAGGTCACACTGTAAGTGGTATCGCTGTCTTGCTTTAGGGTCCGGAACTTCTTGGTTGTCTCCAGCAGTGGTCGTCACTTGCTTTTTACCCCAGGCTTTCCAGACAAGCGTGTTGTCTTTCTTCTTCGGGATACCAGGTCTTCCCAGGCTTCTGGTGAGGCTGCCAGGTGCCAAGGCGAAGTCTTTCTCCAAGATTCGCAGTAGCCATCTGGGGGCGCCATTTCCCATACCAGAGATTGTCTCTAGTATAGAGATGGTTGCTTTCCCAGGGAAAACTTTGAGATCGTTTACACTCTCTCCCGTTTGCTCAAGAGGATGGCTTTTGGTGCTTGGAGGAACAAAGACTTCATTTCTCACACTCCATTTCGTCCTATCACTAGCAGGGACACGGTCCCCACTCCAGGGGAAGCTTGCGGGCACAGGGAAGACAGGCGCTGAAGCCCGGAAAAGGCGCTTCTCACCCCAGGAATTTAGAGAGGGCTAAGAAGATGCTAACAACTGAACAGAGTTTTGGGGGCATGCTTCCTTGTTTAAGATTTCAAGGACCTCCGCTCCAACCTAGGAAAACCAGCCATGGGAACAGACCAGGGAAACTGGCTGGCTGCCTGGAGGAGACCTACTGGGGTGGGGGTCAGGCTCACCCGCAGTTTTTACCAGGAGGGAAAACAGAGACCTGGGCTGCATTCAAGCAAATACAGTTACATATAAAATATTTTTGTTTTTATTTGGTAAAAAATTGCCCCTGTCTCAAAAACAAACAAACAAACAAACAACAACAACAACAACAAAAACAACAAATAAACTGGTTAAAAGAAGCTAGATAGCTCGGGCCTCCCCTAAAGTTCCAGCACTGGGGAGACCGAGGCAAGAGGCAAGCTTTGGCGAGTGAGTTCTAGGCCTGTCTGGACTTTATAACAAAACCCTGTTTCAAATACAAAAGCAAAAACAGGAGTAGAAGACCATTGTTCTACCACAATAAAAACGATTACAGACATGATCCTAGTCTGTAGTGGCCACAGCGCCTTTCCCTGGCCACAGGAAAGTTTGGCATCAGCAGACTGGAGATGGATGAGAAAACTGCGTTAGAGAAAGTTCCTCTGACGGCTGGGAGAGGGTGGCATGGTGGGGAACACTAGGAAGGCTGCCTGTGGTTGATACCTTGCAGGGTCCCGTTTCCAGTCCATCTGTTCTTCCAAGGAGAGAATGGTCTTTGAAACCTTGGAAGACTGGAGCATGTCTTGGTGTTCCTGTACCATTCCTGCTTAAAAGAAACAAACAAACAAAGGCAGCAAACCCCAGCAGATGGAACCTGAGCTGCACCTGTGAATGTCCTTCTTAGAGACAGACTTCAGAACAGAAAGCTCCGTCATTCTTACCGAGTTATCTTGTCAGGGATGCTGCTCCATATTTTGTAATTTGCCTTTTTGGGTTTTTATAATTGGTACTCTTTTTTTCACAGCCCAAATAAAGACATTTGTCAGGATTATTCAATTGACTCATCAATTTATGACAAGCTCAGCTTTAGTCAACTGCAGATCTAAGGTAAGCATGCAGCATATGATTTCAGACTAGAGCGTCCAGCCCAGGCAGACTTAGCACCTGGCTGAGTTCACTGGCACTCAGTATTCATAACGGTTTCATTAGTAAACCGAATGTTCCCTAATAGTTTGTAAATCTCCAGTTGTACAGGGAGGAGTCAAATATTTCACAGAAACATTTGCAAATGTTAAATTGGGTTCCTGGGCCTTGGCCAGTCTGTAAGTGTCTAGTGATCCTCTTGGCCGCACGGTGCAAAGCTTTCTCTTTTCCCTTTGTTTCTGTGGAGTTTTAATTTGCTAAAGAGGTTCTCAACAAGTCCCGCCCTGGAAGAAAGTCAGTTGCAGAGTGCGTTGAAGCCGACAGTGTGTTATCTGGAGGGACTCAGAAACCCTTCTCTGCTGTCATACTTCTGCATTAAAACTGAAGCTGAACAAGACAGTCTCTGGTTTTCCTCGGATAGATTCTTCTCTGTAGCAAATGCTGGAAACATGTAGAACTCTCTGCTCGGTGGTAGTAAGTTAAAATCTTTGAAATCTTCAAGTTCTTGCTCTATTCAGAGGAAATGATGCAGGGGAAAAGAGAGAGAGAGAGAGAGAGAGAGAGAGAGAGAGAGAGAGAGAAGCTTTGTCTCATACCTAGCTTCAAAACCAGATCATATTGCTATGTATTTTCATTTTGAAAGTTTTGGAAAATAGTGTTACTTTGTAGCATTTTCATTCCCAGGAGAGTTGAAGAAACCTACAGATAGTGTAGACATGACAGTGATTGCCACAGGATGTCACTATGTTACCACAGGCAGAACAGGTTACCCTCCTTCCCTTGTCTAACACTTGAAGGGAATCCCCTCAAGTTTCTGGGGGTTTAATTCCATCCACCCACTCAAAAGACTTCTACCATATTTTGTAATATTAATTTAAAAATGTTCCCAACTTCAGGAGAATTTCTTTTTGACTTAGTATTGGCAGATAAAAGTAAGATTTCTTCTCTTCCTCATTTACCTTCATGTTGAAGATGATGCAGCTTTCTGAGCATAAACATTTTCCTAGTCATAAACAGATAACAGGAGATTTTCATGGGGGAGGAATGTGTGCGGCCAGGAAAGCAACGGCAAAGCCAAGACTGATGGATTGCTGGTCCCATTTGAGTCGTGTTTGCTCGGTTTTATGGAAGGTCAGAGAAGCCTGTGCAGGTGTCTTCAGAGACCCGCTCCTCATCTTCATGTTAGACCAGCTTAACCTGCCAAGGGGAGATGGGTCTTTGTCTGCTTCAGAGCTTTCAGAGAAGACCGTGTCTGCCTTAAAAGCCATAAGTTGTTTTGAGTTTCCCCAACAAAGAGAAATTATGAGTGTTTGTGGTCACTGTCTGATCTGTCATCACACGCTGCATACATGTCTGGAAATGTCATACCTCTCCACACGTGTACAGTTACCGTGGCAATGAAAAGTGAAAATGTATTTGAATTCCCTAAATTATAATAAATGCACAAGGAATTTACCTAGCCCATGAGGTAAATGAGGCATGCTGATTCCCTCACTGATAGGTAACTACTGTACAAAGTAGAGAAGGAGCATATACAGACTGGAGTGTATACAGACTGGAGTGTAGACTGGAGTGTAGACTGGAGTGTATACAGACTGGAGTGTATACTGCAGTGTATACAGACTGGAGTATATACAGACTGGAGCATATACAGACTGGAGTGTATACAGACTGGAGTGTATACAGATTGGAGTGTATACAGACTGGAGTGTATACAGAAGGAGTGTATACAGACTGGAGTGTATACAGAAGGAGTGTATACAGACTGGAGTGTATACAGAAGGAGTATATACAGACTGGAGTGTATACAGACTGGAGTGTATACTGGAGTGTATACAGGCTGGAGTATATACAGACTGGAGTGTATACTGGAGTGTATACAGACTGGAGTGTATACAGACTAGAGTGTATACTGGAGTGTATACAGACTGGAGTATATACAGACTGGAGTGTATACTGGAGTGTATACAGAAGGAGCATATACAGACTGGAGTGTATACTGGAGTATATACAGACTGGAGTGTATACAGACTGGAGTGTATACAGAAGGAGTGTATACAGACTGGAGTGTATACAGGAGTGTATACAAAAGGAGTGTATACAGACTGGAGTGTATACAGACTGGAGTGTATACAGGAGTATATATAGAGTATATACAGTCAACTGTTCACTCAGGGCTTGCTCCTCTTAAAAAGGAATGGTGTGGAACCCTGTTGTTTGTAATCCGCATTTGAAATTTGAAAAGTTATACTACATACAATCACAAAGGAGTTAATAGAAATCTTTTTAATTTTACTACCCTAATCTACAAAAAAGAAAAAAATCCCAATGCATGAACAACAATGATATTCTTTTCATTTCAAGAGTGAATACTCATGAAGTTTCATTAAAAAAAATGCAAGTAAAGGGTTTGGGAGACGGCTCAGTCTGTGAAGTGCTCGCTACACAAGATGAGACCCTGTGTGTGAATTCTTAGCACCTGTGTAAATCTGAAGGTGCCCATCTATAATCCTTGTGCCGAGGAGGTAGAGGCAGGAGAGTGACGGGGGCTAGCTGGTGAGCTAGTCTGGTTGAATACGTGAGTTTCTGGGTCAGAAACTCCTGCACCAAGACATAACATGGAGAGCAGTTGAGAAGAGAAAGCGGATATCAATCTCTGGTTCCTCCGTGTGCACATGTAAACACTTGCAGCACGCACACATACACACATTAGTTAAAAACATGAGCAGAAGGTACATTACAGCTTGTAAGAACCTATCATATGTCAATGGAAACTTATGTCATAATGAACTACCTTTATGTATCTACTCTAACGATGCCTGCGTCAACAGTGTGCCTCTGTCATGACGGCTGCCCTCTCACTTGTGTCCCCAAGAGAGCTGCTGTAATGGCTGAGATCTGTGTATTGTGACAGGGACGTTTCTGAATGAGTATCCCCATTGCCTCTATTTCTTCCGGTTCAGAAATTTGATCATAATATTTTCTGGCATTTGGACAGATTTGCCAAATCTCAAAAAGAATTTTTCTTGTTTCCCTCAATATGACATTTCCCATACCAACTTGGTTGAAAGGAGGAATTTTTGATTTTTAGATTAAAATTTAAAAAAGCCAATAGAACTTTTCTCTTAACCTCAAAAATGGTGTGGTTAAAATTTGAGAAGGGTTCGTCCTTATTTTTCTGAATCATTTTTCCCATTCATGTATTTCAAGTATCCCTTTGTGCAGACAGGAATGCGCTCTGGGAAGCGGGGCTTTCTAGTTGCCTGGAGCGTGTCCTTGGAAAGCCTAATTTGCTTAGCAGGAGGGTGATGAGACTGAGCTTTTGCAGCAGCAAGCTGGCTTTGGGGGTGGCACTGGCTTTGCTCCGAAGGTGTTCTTCAAGCCCTTTGATAGAGCACCTTCCTGCTGGAATGTGCCTATCTAGGTTCCGCTTTCAGAATTAGTTTGTCTCTTGGTTTTAGACTTTTGAGCTACCATGGGCTGTTCCTTATGCTGCAGGATGGGGCTCCTGACCGCTGGGCTGCTTGCCACCATTCTCTTCTATAGAATCAAAGAGCTACATTGTGAATGAGGATTTATGTAAACAATCCACATTAGTTTCTTTTCTATTGCTGTGGCAAAGGACCATGACCATGGCAATGCATGAAAGAAAGCTTCTAATTGACCTTACAGTTTCAGAGAGTGTGTGTCTCTGATGGCAGAGCAAAGGCATGAGGCAGGAACAGCTGAGAACACACATCTTGAGGACTCAGAGAGAGGAGTATAGACCAGGCTGGCCTAGAACTCACAGAGATCTATCTGCCTGCATTTCCCTCACAAGTGCGGGGAGGAGAGAGGGGAATTAAAGGTGTGTTTCACTCTGGCTGAGAGGAATGCTCTAACTGCTGTGAGTAATTTGAAACCTCAAAGCTTGCCCGAAGTGATACACCTTCTCCAACAAGGCCACACCCCCTAATCCTTCCCAAATAGCTCAAACAACAGGGGACCAAGTATTGCAACACATGAGCCTATGAGGACCATTCTCACTCAAACTATCACACAATCTTTCCCAACTGCCCTTGGAACTATGCATTAGTAATCATTTTCACAATGCTACCATTAAAACAATCTGTAGGCTTTGATAGGGCAAGGAAGTTATTTAAGAAGTTTTGTATGTGGCTTGGCCATCAGTGTAATTTCAGCCATAGATCACATACAGTATTAGTCAGGTTGGGCAAGGATATGCTGCTATAATGATCGCCACCAAACAACAGAAATTTGTTTCTCAGTGCCAAGATTTCTGTTTTCCCATCTCAGAATTCTCAGCGGTGTTATATTTGGAAATGCTATAATAAGATCTGCATGCACAGTTGCTGGATAGGCAGAGAGAGCCCAAGAGCTCTCTTTATTATTTATTATTACTAGATAATAAATGCTTCCATTTGGAAGTGGTACACATCAGTTTTACCCACATCCATTGGACAAATCCGTAAGATTTGAGCCCATAAGGCCCTCTAATGCAGATGGGGTACAATACAAATCCTATCTTGTGGCTATGGGTGGAATGAAACTATATGCAGGAGGCAGCATGAAGGGCTATTCTATATACACATACATTTCACAACAGCAGTTTTGAGTAGTGCTTAAGTCACTATTGTTGGGGCTGGAGAGATGGCTCACCACCTCCCAAAAGAACCATTGGCTGAGAACCAAAACTTTAACCCACGGGCCTCTATGCACACTTATCCAAACCGTAGTAAGTCCCCGGTGAGATTTAATAAAATAAAGCACTTAGACAAAGTACACAGTAAGTACTTTACATAGGTGTTATTTATTGTTTTCATTTCACCAGGCAGCCAGTAGTGTCTTGTGGCAGCCAGCTCCACCCGCAGGAGCTGAGGCTGGGAACTTCGCACATGGGTGGAATGAGGTGTTGGGAGACTGACCCAGCTCAACAGCAGAATTGGACTGTTCCTCAACCGTTA